GTAGAGCACGATATCTTCACCTTCCTGACTAATGTCAGCAGGTTTGAGGCCAGTTACGTCCTTCAGGACCTTTAAAGTATTGCTTCTTCCGATAGCATGACGGTCAAGTGGAGTAGCTCTGACCTTAAGACGTTTGGGTCGCATTGTGACCACACTGCGCCTTGTGATGTGTTGGCGGGAGATTTTGATTGTTGCCGCCGAAGGCGGCTAGTTTATTGTGCACCCCATACTCATCCTGTGAGCGGTAGCGCAAAAGCATTACAGAGGGCACAAAAGGTCGGGAGATGTCTCTCCCGTCCTGTGTGTGACCGTTTGATTGATGAAGATTAAGCCACCCAAAAGGTGGCACGGGCATGAATAGCCCGTAAGTGGTGGCCCTTTTAAGCCATTACCAGTATCAAGAGCTGATACTGGAGATCTGTGGAGGTGCGAATGCACCCTGCATGACGGGAGATGTCTCCCTTGTGAATGTGTTAAGATGAAGATGAAGCCACCCAAAAGGTGGCACGGGCATGAATAGCTCGTAAGTGGTGGCCCTTTTGAGCCATTACCAGTATCAATAGATGATACTGGAGATCTGTGGAGGTGCGACTGCACCCTGCGTGACGGGAGATGTCTCCCGTCGTGACCAGAAGTTGATGATTGATTGATTGATAAAGATTAAGCCACCCAAGAGGTGGCACGGGCATGAATAGCCCGTAAGTGGTACAATTTTTTTTTTCTCAGTATTCTGAGGTTGCATTTAACCATCAAGCTGTTATCGCGGGGGAGGATACTGCTTCACAGTCTTTATGAGGGTGTCCAGCTGCTGGACACCTTTGTTGACCAGGAGAGTGGCTGTGTTGATGGCTTCAGGGTGGCCACTGCATGATTCAGGAACTCTTAAAGCTCTTCTAAGGTCATTGGTTGCTTCACATTCCAGAAGATAGTGAAGTAATGGCTTTTCTGTGACAGTTTGGCAGAAGATGCACTCTCTCTGTCGGGGTTCACCAATCTCCCAGTTGCATCTGTAACCTAGACGTAGTCTATATAACCTAACTGCTATTTCCCTGTGGATTCCTTTTGGGATATTTAACCTTTCTAATTTGGTTGCCTGAAGATACCATGTTGCAGATGGCGAACCTTCAGCTATTCTCTGGTGTAGGTAGGCTTTGTTGAGATGTGAGAGTTTTTTGGTGATGATGTTTTTTATGTTCTCTAGGCTGGGTTGAATTGTTTTATGTATCACTGGATGACGAGTTGCCAATTTAGCAATTTCATCAGCTTTTTCATTTAATGGGATTCCAATATGGGATGGGATCCAGTTTAAAGTTATGTTGAGTCCTTTGCCTTTAGCGACTGCTCCAAGATACAAAATGGTGGTAATTATTTCCACATTATCTTTCCACTGTTTTTGTCCTAGTATTTGAAGTGCAGCTTTTGAGTCTGTGTGTATGATTGCATTTTGAGTGTTTTGTGCAATCACATATGCGAATGCCTGTTGTATGGCAAACAGCTCAGTTTGGGTTGATGATACTAGTCCTCCCAGTCTCCAATATGCCTGTACGCTGGTCGTGCAAAGAGCAGCGCCAGCACTCTCATATTCTGTGTCCACCGATCCGTCTGTGAAGATGTGGGTGGCTCCTGCTACTGCTATGCTATACATTTGCTCTTCTATTATGCGCCTTAGGATTGTCGGATCATAGGCAGCCTTTTTCATTGGGAGACTTTCTATTACTATTTTGAAAGTAGGCTCTTCCCACGGCGCGGAAGGAGTGTAATTTGGGTGTGGATGATCACCCTCTCTATCAAGAATCATGTTTTTTAAATGTAGTCTGTTTAGGACTTTTCCTGCTCTTGCAACCCAAGAGTTTCCATTGTTTTGGCCTAGTCCAACCACCAAGGCCTGCCGTACTGGGATTGGATCAGAAGAAATAATTATCTTACTGATAATTGTAGCTGTCCTTTGTGATATTCTTTCTTGTAGAGAGGGCAAACCCGTCTCCAGTCTAAGAGTTTCAAGCCTGGTCCACATGGGGGCTCCCAGTGCAGCTCTCATAGCATTGTTTTGGGCAACTTCAAGCTTTTTCCACTGTTGGTGTGATAGATTTGTGAGTGCAGGTGCGGCATAATCGATCACTGATCTGACTGCCTGTACATAGTATGTGCGAAGGACTTGCAGATTGGCTCCTCCAGAAAGGGAGGTTAGCGACCTGAGGATTGCCGTCCGGGCCGCAGTTCGCTCTCTCAAGTAAGTGACCTCAGCATTAAAATTCATGTGTGTGTCCAGGATGATTCCTAGATACTGATAGGTGTCGACCCATTCTATTGGTTGACCCTGTACTGTGAGTTGGATGTTGGGCTTCGCTATTTTTATGGGCATGGCCTTTGACTTTGAGGGGTTGAGTTTGATCCCAATCTGTTTTGCCTCTTTACTGATGCAGTCTAAGCATTTGGGTGCAAGGCGCGCCGCATCCCTTCCTTTTATGATGATGACAAAGTCGTCCGCGTAGTTTAGCAGCCTGCAGTGATGTGGGAGTTTCAACCTCATTATTCTTTCCATTAAACAGTTGAAGAGAAGAGGGCTGAGAATACCTCCTTGCGGTGTACCATTTTCATGTCTTTTGTACTCAGAGACTGTGCCATGAAGTTTTACTCTTGCTTCTCTGTTTATGAGACAGTTTTTGGTCCAGGAGAGCAGGTTGCCTCTGACCTCTTTGTCAATGAGGCAGCAGAGAATAGCTGGGGCGCTAGCCAGTTCAAAGGCTTTTTCGAGGTCCAGGAATATCAGCATTCCTGGTCTGTCATTCAAGTGGGCTAACAGAGTTGTAATACATTCCACTGTGCCAACCCCTCTTCTATAGGCATACATATCATGGTGCAGTTTAGGCATTTTCCACTCCAGTCTGTTGAGTGCCATTCTGTCAGCCGTCTTGGCTGCACAGCTTTGGAGAGAGATGGGCCTGGGATTAGCTGGATCTTTGGGTTTTGGGATCGGCACTATGTCTGCTCTATTCCAAGCAGAAGGTCTAGTTTGAGAAGTCCAGGCTAAATTAATTAACCTTAGGTATGCAGCGTCTCCCTCTGGGCCGAGGTTTCTAATCATTTTATAGGTTATTTTGTCGGCTCCAGGGGATGTATCCTTGGAGTTTTTCTTAGCCCGATTGAGCTCATCCAGTGTGAAGGGGGCATTAGTGTCAGAGACTTCTTCACATGCTGTAAGGATTCTGTGCCACCTTTCTTCCTCTAGTCCGGTCTGTACTGCTAATACATCTGGTGGAAGTTGATTGCTGGCTGCTCTCTCTGCAAACCTGGTTGCCAGTACTTCGGCTTCCTGTTGAGGATCCTTGGGGTGTGGAGCTTTAGGTGTTTTATTCCCTTTGGCCCGGTGAATTTGCTGCCACATCTCTCCGAGAGAGGTGTGTTCATTCAGGTGTGAACACCATTCCAGCCACTTTTGTTCTTTTATTTGTCTGGTCTCTCGATGTACATGTTCCTTGACCTCACAAAGTAAGATCCTGTTGCGGTCACTTGGCTGCTTTTTGTATAGCTTTCTTGTTCTATTGAGTCTATGGTTGAGTTCTTTGACACGTTCGCAATAGTACCAATGATCTTTATGGTGTCCGGTGGACTGTTTTTTCAGTGGGATTGAGTGGTTGGCTGCACTTTGAATCGCTTTGGCAAATTCTTGTTCTGCCTGATTAATGTCTTCGGGAAGATCATAGTTTCTTTGCCACTCTGAAATGAGGTTTTGAAATCGGTCCCAGTTTGCTAAAGCAAAGTTCCAGGCTTCAGATGGAGGCGGAGGTGGGGTGGGTAGGTCTAACTGAAGATCAATTTGGACCCCATAGTGGTCGCTTGTGAGTGTGGGCTCAACTGACCATGTTGCTGCATCTCTTAGGGAGGCTGACACGAAGGTTAGGTCTAATCTGCCTCCTTGGATGTGGGTAGGTTCATTCATGTTTAGGATTCGTATTTCTGGAAGCTGGTCCAGTAGATGTGTAATGTGTATGCCGGCTTCATTTGTTTTGTTCGAGCCCAGTGCCAATCGATGATGGGCATTAAAATCTCCACAAATGATTGTGTTTGTTGTTGTCGCGTGTCCAAATAACACAGAGAGATCCATTTCGGCATGTGGAGACCTGTACACATTGAACACTTCAAGTTTGTCGTCTCTTAGCTCAATGGTGACTCCAATTACCTCTGTCCCTGCTCCACAATTGGATGGGCTGGTTATCGATTTGGAGATCAGGTCACATTTTACATAGATTGCACATCCCCTGGATTGCCCATTGATCCATGGAAGGAAGAAGCCTCGATAGCCTGAGATTTTAGGTTCTAATCCGGCTCGAAGCAAGCTCTCCTGTAGTATCAGGATGTCTATGCCTTTGGTTGCTGCTATGCATTGCAAGTGTTGCAATTTAGTGCGCAGTCTTTGCGCATTCCATTGCAGGATCTTTAGAATTCTAGGTTCTTGGAATGTGCTGATAATTCCGTGGTATCCATGGAGTCTGATGAACACGCCATGGAAGTTGCAATTGGGGTGTTGATGATTGATTGATTGATGAAGATTAAGCCACCCAAGAGGTGGCACGGGCATGAATAGCCCGTAAGTGGTGGCCCTTTCGAGCCATTACCAGTATCAAAAGATGATACTGGAGATCTGTGGAGGCGCGACTACACCCTGCGTGACGGGAGATGTCTCCCGGACCAAGTGTGTGTCGTTGATGATTCGCGGTCGACTGGTTATATTTCCCAGTCCACACCTCACCTGACCATCCTCTAGCAGGTTTGGAAAAGGTATTAACTGTACACTTGGGAAGAGGTAATAATTGTAATTACTGGACTAAGTAAAAATAACAGACCCATCTTATTATCTACAGTTACGCTAATGAGAATATGGAGCAAGTATATTACTTATATAATATACATGCTACAATACTACTACTAATAATAATGTTAATTTACTAATATTGTTTTCCTTTGCAAAATCCTTAATTATTAATTTATTTATTGAACAGGCCCAGGCAGTTAGGAAAGTTCTGGGAAGTCTCAACAAAGCCTCTGCCAATGTCAACATAAACAAACAGGTAAGAACCCCTCACATCAAATTAATGAAGACCAAAAATAAATATTTGGAGAATAAAAAAAAATTACTATGAATTTTGTTAACAAGGTTTAATTTTGTACAGGAATGAAAAAAACAAAAACAAATTAACAATGATATAAACAACGGTGATGTGCGTGTGTGTGTTTTCTATCCCAATATTGACTTGTTGCCGCCTAGACCTTCCCTCCCGTGTCGGCCGCCTGCAGCTGTTGCTAGATTTCTCCTGGGCTTTTGAAAAACTTTACAAAGAATTCCACATTCTTTGTTTCCGTTTCTATAAATATGTCTACCACACAATGCAAAAGCTGCTACATCTGTGAAACTGTGAAACCTACCACATTGAAGTAACTGCTACTTCTTCTCACTGAGAGACCTACCATAATGCATCACTTTCTACTTTCTCCCAGTGAGAGACAACTACTACAGTGAAAGCTGTTACTTTCTCTCACCGAGAGAAGTACCACAACGAAACAGCTACTAACTCAATCAACAAGAAACATGAATTTGAAAAGAAACTTAGGATTGGCCTAGTTTCAAAGGAAGTAGTTAAAAGGTATTCATCAATGTCTACCAGTATCAAAAGAAATGCAAAACTTTCATATTATGTGAATAGAATCAATGAAGCAAAAGGCAACATGAAAAGCACATGGAAAACCATCTCTAGTATCCTAGGAACTAAACAACACTCACATAACCAAATAAAACTCTATAAGGATGGGTATACACCGTCAACTGATTTAGAAATGGCAAATGAATTTAATAGCTTCTTTTCATCGGTTGGTGCTAACCTTGCCAGTAAAATCCCACAGACTCAGACACATATCAATACATATCTCTCAGGCAGCTATCCAAACTCTCTTCTCCTTTCACCAGTCAGCCCGACAGATGTTGTGTCCATCATACACTCTAAAAACCAAGGCAGGGAACACCAGTGAAATTCTTTCCATTGTATACAAGAGCGCCTCCCCATGCCCTTGCGCCACCCATAGCCCTACTCTTCAACAAATCTATAGAGTATCACACCTTCCCTGATATCCTTAAAAAAAACAAGAGTAACGCCAGTCCATAAAGGAGGCAATCCGGCGGACATAAACAATTATAGACCAATATCAAACCTACCCATTCTGTCAAAAATATTTGAAAAAATTATCTACAAACAGCTCTATTCCTACCTCGTAAAATTCGATATACTCAGCACCTGCCAGTTTGGCTTCTGCTCCCAAAAGAGCACCAACGTTGCAATTATTAGTCTCCTTGACGTAATCTACTCAGCCCTTGACAAAAATGAGTTTCCGATTGGACTCTTCATTGACCTAAGAAAAGCCTTTGATACTGTTAATCACAACTACCTCTTACTTAAACTCCAGCATTATGGAATCCGAGGCCTTGCCCTGGACTATATCCGATCCTATCTTAGTGACAGACACCAATGTATAACCATCAATGCTACAACCTCTTCCACTCTACCAATAACCGTTGGAGTGCCACAGGGCAGCATCTTAGGACCTCTTCTATTACTTATAAATATCAATGATCTGCCTAATGTCTCTAATATTCTTAAACCTATATTGTTTGCTGATGATACTATCCTCATCTATTCAGACCCCAACCCACATACACTAAATAATGTTGTGAATAATGAATTAAAAAAAGTCCACTTATGGATGTCAACCAACAAACTAACACTAAACATAGAAAAGACCTACTACATCTTATTTAGAAGCAAATCATCGAATGCAATTCAGCTACAGATAGACAACATTAAAATCAGTAATAAAAAGATGGAAAGTTTCTTGGCCTATTCCTAGACAAGAGACTCAACTTCAGTACCCACATTCAACACATAACTAAGAAAGTCTCTAAAACAGTTGGTATACTCTCCAAAATAAGATATTATGTTCCTAACTCTGCTCTCCTCTCACTATATTATGCACTAATCTATCCCTATCTTAATTATGGTATCTGTGCATGGGGGTCAACCTCTGCAAACCACCTTAAGCCCATCATCACCCAGCAAAAATCTGCTATCAGAATAATAACAAACTCTGCTTTCAGACAACGCTCAGCTCCCTTGTTTAAATCCCTTAACATGCTAAATATTGACTCCCTCCACACATTCTCTTGTGTCAACTATATTTACAAAACCCTGTTCTTAAATGCAAACCATGCTCTGAAACTCTCCTGGACAGATGTAATAGGACCCATTATCACCACACCAGAAATAAATATATCTTTGATATCCCCAGGGTCAAACTTAATCTGTGTAAACACTCTATGCAAATTAAGGGACCTAGTCTATGGAACTCACTCCCTAGTGAATTGAAAAGCTATCAAACTTTTGCCTCATTTAAAAACAAAACCAAAAAGTACCTAATTTCATCTTAGTTTCCTACACTGAGCTTTAAATTGGCTCTGTATCTAGTGTTACCCAATCTCCCAATCTTTATGTACCTAATCCAAACAACTTTAGCATTGTGTTCATTGCTGTCTTCTTTTATGTGCTAGCCATATGCTGTATTGTGCCTACCAATTTTTGTCAACTACCATTCACGCTGTCATTGCAATCAATCTGAGCTACCTTTGTGCTTTAATATACCTACAATTTTCTCTCATCTTTTTTTTTTCTTGCCTTGTAACTGTTATCATTTTTTATAAATTTTGCAAGTATTTACCTACTTAAAATTTTCATAGATTAAGGACCTGCCCGAAACGCTACGCGTACTAGTGGCTTTAGAAGATTGTAATTACCATATTATGTATCCTCACAATCCCAATGTACCTTCTTGTATATACGCATAAATAAATAAATAAATAAATAAATAAATAAATAAATAAATAAATAAATAAATAAAGGGAGAACAGCCTATTGACATAGCTCGAGTGCATGGAGAAGTTGTATAAAACCCTGGTTTGTGTCTCGGAGAGGCTGCGGGATCTAGTAAGTTCAGTGGAACTTCGGTTTCAACTCTTTTACCATGTCGTAGCTCAGTCGATTAAGGCAGCCTAGTAGAAATGTTTTGTTACTAATGTTACCCCCAGGCAACACAAGGCTTAGGAGAGATGTTTGGTTATGAAAGTTAAAGGCCCGGTACCCTCATAACTCTTGGAAGAGCAGATTCATTCAGCTTTGCCACACAGAACCTTAAATATCTTGTCATCATTGCAAAATTGTCAATGTGCAGCCCATGGGTCTACTGAGCTTCCAGTTGAAGGTCTCCAACTCCTCCTCTTTGACCAAGAGAGACGCTTCATAAATCCCCAATTGCTCTCTGCATTCTTGTAGTAACTCAATCCCTCCTTTCTACAAAATACAGTATGTTGTAGGTATTATTATATATAGTTTTTGTACACTTTTGATAAAATATTCGTTATGCCATGTAGTGCAACAATACAGTCACTTATACTGTAGCCTCACCCAACAGCTGGTGGAGATATTGGTGGATGAGCTGAACCTTCGCCTCCAGAATGAGACAGGGATACTGAAGGGTGCCACCATAAGGCACTCTGGCAGTGCTTATGAGAACCTGGCGGTTGATGATGATGCTGACTTTGACTTGATCCTACAGCTTGGGGAGCCCTTCGTCAGTAGAAACTTTGAAGTAAGTAATATTAATTGGAAGCCACACTGCGACCTGCATGATGATGCATGGGACACATTAACACAATACTTAATGTCTTAAATTCTTTGGTTAATAAAATGTCTTAAATTCTTTGGTTAATAAAATGTCTTAAATTCTTTGGTTAATAAAATGTCTTAAATTCTTTGGTTAATAAAATGTCTTAAATTCTTTGGTTAATAAAATGTCTTAAATTCTTTGGTTAATCAAATGTCTTGATTTTTTTGGTTAATGAAATGTCTAAAATTCTTTGATTAATCAAATTTCCTAAACTCTTTAGTTATTAAAAATATTTATAAGCTACACTACTATAATTACGAAAGCAAAGCCTTTTCATAAGCAAGAAATACCAAAAGACGTTTGATAATTATTATACGGTATCTTTATATCTCCTGGGTGAAGTACGATGCTACAATTATTGCTACCCAGCCTATTCTCTCATCATTCATGAGCTGTAGTATGTACAACAATAGGATCACACTAATAACTGATGGAATGTTTATTATTCTCTTTACAAAATACAAAACAAATACAAATATTTATTCAGGTAAAGTACATACATACAAGGTGAGATACAAAAAGTTGATGGATTTATAGATAGAGCTAGTACATACAATGCCTAAAGCCACTATTACGCAAAACGTTTCGGGCAGGAAAAACACTAAGACTAAAACTTAATACTAATTGAGATTAAAGTATAAATTGTGTTGAAAAAAATAAGAAAAAAATAAAAAAAAGGGGGGGAAACATGGCAGAAAAAAAGCAAAAATACAATTTGGTCAACAAACAGCATTGTTTAAAATAGTAGACATGGGTTGACATTTTAGGGGTGAGGTTGGTTACATGGAGTTAATTAGGTAGCACTTAGTTTTTATCTTAAGCTGGTTGGGAGAGGTACAGTCTTTAACATAATTGGGAAGGTCATTCCACATTCGAGGTCCCTTGATTTGTAAAGCATTTCTAGTTTGATTAAGTCGTACTCTTGGAATATCAAATAGGTATTTGTTTCTGGTGTGGTGCACATGAGTTCTGTTACAACCGTCTAGGAAGCGTTGAAGGTCTGGATTGACATTACAATTCAGAGTTTTAAATATATAGAGTACACAAGAGAGGATGTGCAATGACTTAATATCTAACATATTCAGAGATTTGAGTAAGGGTACCGAATGCTGTCTGGGGCCAGAGTTAGATATTGTTCTAATAGCAGCTTTGTGTTGGGTAATTAGAGGACGTAAATGATTTTGGGTTGTAGAATCCCAAGCACAAATACCATAGTTGAGATAAGGATAGATGAGAGAGTAATAGAGCGTCACCAGGGCAGGGCGAGGAACATAATATCTGATCTTAGAAAGAACACCAACAGTTTTAGAAACTTTTTTTGCTATAATTAGAATGTGTCCCTGGAAATTCAGCTTGTTATCGATGAGGACACCAAGGAATTTACCATCTACTTTACTACTGATTTGTATTTTGTTTATTCTTAAAGTAATTTCATTTGAGGATTTATTACCAAACAAAATATAGAAAGTTTTGTAAATGTTAAGGGTGAGTTTGTTAGCAGTTAGCCAAAGGTGGACTTTATTTAATTCAGTATTCACAGTGATATTTAGAGCAATAGGGTCAGGACTGGAGAAGTTGAAAGTTGTGTCATCAGCAAATAATATTGGTTTGAGGTGTTGAGAGGCATTTGGAAGGTCATTAATACAGATGAGAAAGAGGAGAGGGCCAAGTATGTTGCCCTGTGGAACTCCGATGTTTATAGGTAGTGTCAGAGAAATGGAATTATTCACAGAAACATACTGGAGCCTGTCAGTAAGGTAGGACTGAATAAGGTATTGCAGGGAGTGACCTCTGACTCCATAATAATGTAATTTAAGAAGAAGGTTTTGGTGGTTGACAGTGTCAAAAGCCTTGCGTAGGTCCACAAATATCCCAACAGGAAACTCATTTTTATCAAGAGCTGCATGTATCAAGTTAATCATATTAATAAGTGCATCGTTAGTGCTTTTTTTTGGGTCTGAAGCCATTTTGACAAGAGCTTAGTATATTGTGTTTGGTTAGATAAGAGTAAAGCTGCTTGTAGATTAGTTCTTCAAAAATTTTAGACAAGTTTGGCACAATTGATATAGGTCTGAAGTTGTTGACATCAGTGAGATCACCACATTTATGGACTGGGGTTACCCTCGCTTTTTTTAGAATATCTGGAAAAGTTTGGAGTTCAAATGACTTGTTGTAGAGCAATGCAATGGCAAGGACTAAAGATTTGTAGACTTTTTTGTAGATTAGAGTTGGTATCTCCGCAAGGGCACTAGACTTGTCTTAATGGAAAGGATTACCTCATTTACATCAGTGGAATTAGCGGGCGTTGATGAGAGAGTAATAGGGTGTCACCAGGGCAGGGCGAGGTACATAATATCTGATCTTAGAAAGAATGCCAAAAGTTTTTTAAACATTTTTTGATATATTTAGAATGTGTCCCTGGAAATTCAGCTTGTGGTCAATGAGAACGTCAAGGAATTTGCCATCTAATTTGTTACAAATTTGGGCATTGTTAATCCTGAGATTTATTTGATTTGAGGATTTATTTCCAAACAAAATATAGAAAGTTTTGTCAATATTGAGGATGAGTTTGTTGGCAGTTAGCCAAAGATGGACTTTATTTAGCTCAGTATTCACTGTGACATTTAGAGCAATGGGGTCAGCACTGAAGTAAATGAAGGTTGAGTCGTCAGCAAATAGAATTCGTTTGAGGTGTTGGGAGGCATTTGGAAGGTCATTAATGTAGATGAGAAAGAGGAGAGGGCCAAGTATGCTGTCCTGTGGAACACCAATTTTGATGGGTAGGGTGGGAGAAATTGAATTATTCACAGAAACATACTGGAGCCTGTCAGTAAGGTAAGATTTAAGGTATTGCAGGGAGTGACCTCTGACTCCATAATGTTGTAATTTAAGAAGAAGGTTTTGTTGGTTGACAGTGTCAAAAGCCTTACGCAGGTCCACAAATAACCCAACAGGGAACTCATTTTTATCAAGAGCTGCATGTATCAAGTTAATCATACTAATAAGTGCATCGTTAGTGCTTTTTTGGGGTCTGAAGCCATATTGACAAGAGCTAAGTATATTGAGTTTGGCTAGATAAGAGTAAAGCTGTTTGTAGATTAGTTTTAAAATATTTTTGACAAGTTTGGTAGAATGCCCGAAACGCTTTGCGTAATAGTGGCTTTAGGCATTGTATGTACTAGCTCTATCTATAATTTTTTGTAAAATCTCTTGTATGTATGTACCTTACCTGAATAAACATTTATTATTATTATTATTATTACTATTAATATTATTATTATTATTATTATTATTATTATTATTATTATTATTATTATTATTATTATTATTATTATTATTATAATTGATACAGGGCTGTAGTTGTTAACATCTGTGAGATCACCACATTTATGGACAGGGATTACTCTCGCTTTTTTAGAATATCTGGAAAGGTTTGGAGTTCAAGTGACTTGTTGAAGAGCAATGCAATGGCAGGAGCTAAAAATCTGGAGGCTTTTTTGTAAATTAGAGTTGGTATCTCCTCAAGGGCACTAGACATGGTTTTAAGGGAAAGGATTATGTCAGTAACATCATTGAAATTAGTAGGCATTAGGTACAAAGACTGAGGATAGTTACCTGTAAGATAGTCCTGAATATTAGTACTGGAAGATGGAATATCATTTGCAAGGGATGACCCAATGAAAGAGAAGAACCTATTGAACTCAAAAGCAGTGTCAGAAGCTGAAAACAGACCATCATTATTTGACAAGAGTATTGGTTTGTTATTTAAAATCTTCTTTGATCCCAATATTTGAGAAATTGTGCTCCATGTTTTCTTAATGTTGCCCTTTGTGTGGGTAAATTTATCTTCGTAATATTTAATTTTGGCTCTCCTAATTATTTTAGATAGCAATGATGAGTAGTTCTTTGAGAATTCTTTGGAGACGATTCTTAACCTATACTTCGTCTAAAGGTCATATTTTTTATTAATGGATTTAAGTATCCCCTTTGTAAGCCAAGGATTGTTTAGCCTTTTAGTCGTGACTTGTTTCGTTAGCATAGGACAGTGGGTGTTATAAAGGCTGAGATTTTTTTTAAGAAATTATTGCACTGCTAGGCTTTAGGAATACTTCCTAAATAGTATGAACACCTGTATGCTAATCCCCACAATCACCAAGCCCACACGAATTACTCAAACATTTGCTACAACCCTGGACATATGGACTAATAAAACAGTCCCCCTGTCTCTGGTATAATCACTGACAGAACAATCGATCACAATCCTACCTAGCTTCCTCAGCAAACATGGACATAACACCCTCGGTTACCAATAAACTTACCTCTAGACTACACAGCAAACCAGCAGTAGGGAACCTCACAAATGCAGTTTACAATATAAATTGGGAATCTGAACTCAACAATACACAGGATATAAATTCATTAGCCGACATCTTTCTTTCCAAAACTCTAAGCCTCTACAACACACACTCTCTTCTCCTCACTAAGTAAGAAACTGCCAAAAGATTAAACAACACCTGGCTCACACGTGGCATACTTAAAGCCATAAACAAGATACACGAATATAAAAAAATCATAGAATTGGTCTAGTTACAAAAGAAGAAGTTAAGAGATACTCATCAATGCTTACCAATATAATACGATGAACCAAAGCTTCCTTTTATGAGAATAGATTTAAAGAAGCAAAAGGAAATATCATAAGTACATGGAAAGCCATCTCTAACATCCTGGAGTCAAAACAACAACCACATAACAAGCAGATAAAACTCTCCAAAGATGGTTACACACATGCAATAGACTTAGGTATTGTAACTGAATTCAATAGCTTCTTTCTTCAATTGGTGTAAACCTTGCCAAAAAATTCCCAGGGACCCAGACACATGTCACTACATATCTCACAGGCAGCTATCCTAATTCTCTACTCCTTTTACAAGTCAGCCCGACAAACTTTATATCCATAATTCAATCACTTAAAACCAAAGCTGGGAACATTAATGAAATACCAT